ATCAACACTGATAACGGAAAAAGACCGCGGAAAAATTTTAGGACACTACAACAAATTTTTGTGGCATATGTAATTCCTAAATTAGAGAACCTTGAAGTTCATATTTATTTTCCATTTATGTTTGTGTTAGGATGTTCGTCATCAACTGAGGTCAGCTTTATAAACCCAAACCCAATAAACAAGGATGAGAAATTAAAGGTGAACTTCGGGAAACATAAGTGAACTCGGTGGGAATGAAGACGAAACGCCTATTTGTACACCTACGTTAGACAATCCTAGCAAAAATTAGACTACATGTTGACGATGAAGGTATAAATTTATAGACGTTTCAGATCTTAGGCACTCAGGCGAAAAGTCTGATTATTTCCCAAAAACTAAGCCTAAACGTTGACACTGCACCAGAAAGTAGCCTGAATTTACACCGAACCCTCCTAGACAATATCACTTGAATTTTCCCAATCTTATCTAGTTAAATAGGTTTAAAGTATTATTCTTGAAGTGACGTACTGAATCTAAAGCTACCGATTTTGAGTTTTTTTGGATAAAGTTCTGGTTCTGAATAAAATTAAGGGGTTAAACCTCTAGCACAAGTACAGGTTTAGTGAAATCTTGAACAAAATAAAATGTAACCCTAACCATAACTTCTGATAGGTCTCCACTAAGCCTGAATATACTTCATGGGCTGGGGGAGAGTGAGGTTATCTGCAGCAAGAGAAAAAGCGAACCAACGACCTAGTCAGTACATTAAGTGAACTTACTTTTAACAAGTTAAAAAATCGACAGCAATCAGGAATAACACAAGCATGGGATTAAAAGAAACTAGGGATCGGAACTAGAAGCTGGTAGCGAACAGTTTCGAAAGCGTTGAAAAACTGTAACTCCAGCCTTTGGTTGATTTGCGTCCAACCAGGTGGTACCTTGTGTGCTAGGGGGATGTGAGGAGCAGCGTATGAGATTATCTGGAAGAAAGAACAAGAGAAAAAGATGAGCCGACGACTTAGTAAGCACATAGAATGCACTTACATGCAATACAGGAATAAACAGAAAGCAACCAGATATAAAGCCAGCGTGAAATTAAGACAAACTGATAAATGGAACTAGGAGTCGATAGAGTAAGGTTTCGAATGCGTTACAAAACTGCCGGTCGAAACTACCTCTCTTCGTTACACGACCTTGTGCTGCAAAAGTGACCGGGAATGTTTTATATTTGGATGAACCCAAATGTCACTTGTTGGCAGGTCGCATAACTTCCCGAACGTTTTCAACATTTTCTTAGTCCAATCATCTCTAGCAACCATATACCTCTTATATTTTTCACAACAAAATGAAATTTTTCCATCGTCTTTGATGTTTTCTAGCTCACGTAGTTTCCATACAGTTTCTGCTATATGGGGAGTTCAGTTTTTCCTCAGTGAGTTCAGTTTGGAAGAGATCGAAACGCGGTTCAATCAGTTCCAACGAGAGTTTCAGAATAATAAGGACCGCGTCGGAGTGAAAATCGGACGGCAACCCTAAAAACTTGGAGACCTCTTGGTCACCGATGGAATTTATCAATAAACAGGTATAAATTCTCTTGATAGATGTTAGCATTACTCTATTTTGGCATCCTCGGCAGCAAAAACCAAAGGTTAATATTAAATTACATGGGATCCTCCTGATGACTCACTCATTTTGGGATGATAATATTTGTATTTTATCATAGTCTCTATTTTTTGTGCCTTTTTTGAGTTTCTATCTTTCCTTCCGAAGTGCATTATGTTGTTTTAGCTGATACTCAATGATGGCAACAGCTATATTGATTTCGTTCCTCTGGCTGTTGGTACGCTCATATTGGCTGGAAGTGTGCTATTTGGATTGGACTTTGGAGCTCTCTTCCTGAACTGGAAGCATTGTTATTATTAAAGGAATGAGTGGTAATATTGTTTAAGTAATGATGAATATTTATATATATGATTAATAATAAAACCGTTACTTACCCAATCACTTGTTTTGATTTAAATTGAGCAAGAATCATATCTAAACTTCCTGAACAGTTATTCCTAAATCCGAAGCTCAGTTTGGATTCTACAGTTCTAAACAATATTTATTGATTGGAGTATTTTGGATCTTATAATTCTTAACAATATCATTCGATTGGAGTTCTGGAAGCTAAATCCTGCAAACTATGCACAAAACAGTATTTCTCGAATGAGTTATTTTCCGTAACACTACTTTGTGTTTGTGAACCCAGTCGAAAGATTAAAACGAACAGCGATTTGTAACCCGTTTATCAATGTATATCTCATACAATTTCTATCGTTTTATGTTATTAGGACTTATCTTTGCCCCCGTTTTGGTCCTTGTACATTATTTCTAGTTTCCTGAAGGCACGTAATAGACATTTCTTCCCCTATGCCCTCCTCAGAAAGAGAAGGATTTTAAAAGTGTTATAAAAACTATCTGAGAGTTAAGATGTGCTACCTGATTAAATGCACCGAACTATTCAGTTTTCGTTACTAACGATCACAAAAATTACAAAAAGCCGACTTCATCTTCATGCTTAACTCCTTAAAAACATGTGAACATTGAGCAGAAAAATAAATCATGTTTCGAACTAATTGTTATGTACACCTTGCAAAATGAATAACTAAGGATTGAGTGGTTCGAATTGGAACGAAGAACAACAGTTTGTTTGACTAAACTAAAGTAGTCTGCCGTTTAAATAACTATTCGAAACTGATGAAACGTCACCAGGTAAAGTATTACATCATACCCAGACACTTAATTTTTAACTTCCAACTCCTAGAAAATATGCTTATTTCGAATTTTCGGCGGAAATATCGTTGCAAAGCTATAAATTATTCCACCAGACATCCAAGAATGCTACAGAAGCCAATCGTTTTGACTGACATTGATAAATCAATTAATAAGGATATGTTAAAAAGTTCTAGACCCTGAACCTAAACTCAATAACATTTTTGTCAATGATATTCCTCCTAAAAAGGCTGTTAAAAGAAATTACGAAAACTGCATTCTGCTTAGTCGATATTCACTAACCAAATAACAGTGAGATTGATTATGTGGAGAATCTACATGCACTATGTCGATGATAATAATATTTTGTTTTCAAAAACAACGCGTTATATGTGGCATACCAATTTCCAAGCAATTACAAAATGTAAAAACTACTGACATATTTTCTCTAAAACGTTTTTCGGTCAGATAAATATTTTAGAACGTGCACTCAACTCCCGTAGAGGGCTAATATTTTCACATAAAAATGTCACTGTTTCAGACTCCGCGATGGACTATCCAATATTTGGTGCCAGTTATGTTGTTCAGGAAGAAGAATTAAGTTTGATAATTCCATCGTTCACTGTGTATCCTTTCGTATTATATCAAATGCCGATATCTAAGTCATGTTGTGAGTGACTAAGTAAGTACGTTGCAGGTTGTCTTGGAAGAATAGCGATATAAGCATATTACTGGAAACATGAATCTCAGAAGTAGCAAGAGTATAAGAGCAACTCCAGTAACACTGATTAGTCCCCTAAACAATCGAAAAGAGCCGAAACCACACGTAATGTTCTACTGACAATCATGAGTGGGTTGAAATCATCGTCTGCACCATCAATGTTTGCTAACCTTCCTTCTTCTGTGTTGTTAGGTTCATTTAAAATGATTGTAAGCTGTTACTTTATGTTGAATTCGAGGATCTAAATTTCATATCTTGTATAAAATTATTACATTACTCTTGCAGTCCGCTGCAACCCCAAAGGTGTAGGTTCATACGCGTCCCGCCCAGTCCAAGTCCAAAAACGATAATTCTGGGAGGGAACGGTTCTATATTTAATCAAAATGTGAAATTCAGACAATTACCAAAACAATATTACACCTTCGAGTTTCCAATTACCACAATAGGTTCCGTTGCTGGAAGAATGTGCTTCCAGTCCATTACTGCTAGAGTATCAAATCCAAATATGGCTGTAGCCATATTAAGTACCAAATTTAAACAACACATACAAATTTCAGAAGGAAACATGGAAAGTTCAATATAAGTACAAGATATAGAAATAATAACAAGATACAATGATTAAATCTCGTAAGAGAATTAGCCAGTTACAGCTGAACAGTAATGATCGATCCAGTCTGTGATCTATCTATTTTTAGTGAAATATTAAAAGATTTGTATTATTATTACTACTACTACTAATACGGGGAGAGATACATGAAAAAAATAATTAGATACTACTCTGAATTCTATATAGTCTAAACGTGTACAGAGCTAATAAAGTGAAATCAATGTGCGAGTGAGTTCATGCGTTCAAATTAATCTGTACAGCCGAGGACTTCATTAGGAAGCGTTAAAAACTCATGTACCTCACCTGCCTCCTATACTATAGAGGAAAAACTTTTCCATATTGGTGCATACCTAATGAGGAAGAAGTGTTCTCAGGTATTTGATAGATAGATACTTTATCTGGGGGGGATATGTATACATGGGCCTTGGAAAAGGACTACACTACAGTAGGAGTATGTGGGCTTGTGCAGAGGCTTAATCTGGAGGATCAGGTTGGACGTTCGTAGATCACTTTTAGGTTTTGCAATTGTTGTAGCGACTGCATATCCTATTGATGTAGTTTATGAAAAGCACGGGAAACTAGACCCTAGATAACGTAGATATTTCGAGCAACAGTGCAAGAATATTTGATCTGTCATTTTAAAGAGTATGAATGGGATTTCATCCGCACAAGAGATTGAATTGGGTCTGAGGGTCTTAATGTTGACTTTTGTATTGTGAAGATCAATGTTGATGAAATCTACCAGTTTCCAGTAATCAGGACAAGTGAAGGGTTATTTAAAATAACCAGGAAGGGTAGCTGAATTATATTATTGAGTAAAGATCGGGAGTTATTTAGCGTGTTACACAGGGTGAGTACTTATATTTTAGGGAGGCACGGCGGGCTTTAGTTGGGTTAGCCGCTGTGTAATGTGAATGAGAGGTAGTAGGAAGATGGGCTAGGTTGGGTTGATTTGTAATCTATATAGTTGGAGGTAGATGATGTGGCGGGAAAAGCTTTTGAGGTAGATTATGGCAGATATCGAAGTTCAAGTTTACCCGATGATCTCATAAGAATAGATATGTAAGTCGCAAACGACAATCAGGATGAATCATCTCTCAGGCCCACTGGGTTAGATGGGGTCGGCTTGGTCAAGTCAGTGAAAGATGTATAATGTGGTCGGTCTGAGGGACCAGACATAAAACTACTACAGCTTGTTAGCGGCAGAGATTGATTGTTATTCATGACATCATATTATGTAGTGGGTGGCTTGAAAGAGACAGTAATATCGCCCTTAACAGTTGGAGATGGTAAAACAACTCCGCTGATGGAGTGAAAGCTAAAAAAGGACAAGGTCTTGTTTCGAAGGAGGGACCCAAGAGTTTTAATAGGTAGTTCGGCTACGTTGGCTCTAGGATTATAAGGCGGATGCCAAACGAGGTTGGCATCATGGGTTTTCTGCGCACTACTCGGAATTCTAGCTTTCTGTGCACAATAAAGGGTTCCAACGGCCTTAGGTTAGAGATAGGAAGGTGCCTAATGTACAGTTTAGGAAGATATTTGCGGCGTTTTTCATGAATCTTAGGAGATCTAGGGTTATTTCGCATGCAATAAAGTTTTTGAAAGCTACTGAGGATATATGATCAATTTTCACTTGAGTGTTTATTTATAATTTCGAAATCGGGATGTTTTCATGCTGATCACATTTTTGTAAGGTAGTAACTTGTGAACGGTTTGGTTATTGTTAATTTCACTTAGACTGCGCTTAGAATAATTATTGGTGAGAATATCTTTCTTTAATTCGCAGCTATCAGAGTTAGTGGGATTTTCACCAGACTTGTTACAAGTGGTCAGTCTTAGTACATTCATCTCAGGTAATAAATATATCTGTGGGGATGTAGTCCAAATTTAATTCACCGGACTTCCTGTTGCGGACAGACTTACTGACATTCCATGAGTTGATATAAAGTTTATCCGTTTGTGGGCTCGCTAAGTGTTTAAGATCATGGTAAAATTGCCGTAGGCCAGTGGGAAGGTCAGAGTACGATGCAGATGGATCACTATTCTTAGAAAATTTATTTTTATCCACTTTATTAGCGGATATAGATCATTTATAGGTGCTGTATTGAACGGGCGAAATTAATTTTTTTTGGATAAACGTGAGGTGTTTGAGGAGTTATTCGCAAGTGTGTGTTGGGTCCTCTATTTGAGTAACGCCAAACCACTGTACAAGTGACAACACCCAACATTAATAATAATAATAATAATAATTTATTAGACTCCTACTGTTCAAAAATAAGAATACGAAAGACGTTGGAGAGCATTTATTAACGGAATCAAACATATACAATAAAACATGCGTATTTATACAATTATGCATATAATCGATATTGTCCTTGAAATATTTAAACATTTAATCGATAAGTTCGTCAATGGACAATGTGCGTGGGTGGCTTCTCGATGGCTATCCCAATAGTTTTAACAGTGTGTTCAGAATTAACTTGACAAAAGCAAATCGTCTAAAGGTAGAAGTGATTTTAATAATACTAAAGCACTAAGAAAATGAAGCCAAAAACTACTGTATAAGGCTAAAATTAAAATCACCTACGTCCGAATATAAAACGTCTCCTTATATAAACCGTTGACCTCCAGCAAAAAAAAGAGAAAAAAGAGAAATCGTGTGGAAAAGTTACAACCTTCAAAGCTCATGAAGAAACGACTGAACCCCTTTTTAATGTATTTGCCAAGGTCATCCTGCAAATAGATTTCTTGATATAAACTGTAATCGTTTCAAGGTTATAAAACTGAGTCATAAATGTAGTTGACATAAAAAACTAACATCAGGATGATTGATTAGTTATATCCTGCTATATCTTAAGGAGACGTCAGCACATCACTAACTAACTAATGGTATAAAATGTTAGCTGTAGGTCGGTTAATATGTAGTTTGAATATGGGGAGAACAGATAGCGACCAAAGGATATGAAGAAAAAGTACTGAAAATTAATGAGTAAGGCAGTGATTAGTTAAGAAAGTAAATCGTCTGAATATTCATAAATTTGGGATGTTAAACTTTCTTAAACTGATAATACATGAACTATAAACAACTCGCAATTATTTAGTGTAGTTTGATTTTCTTGTGACATGATTGTTGAGCAGCGTTTGCAAGTGCGAAAGGTTAGGGAAGAAAATCCTTCGACTTTAGTGTTAAAAAAACCCCGATTGTTGGAAGCAGGAGCTTAAATCGAAGGCCTACTATGGTTAGTGCGAGAAGGAGAATTATGTGTCTACCACTTGGTGATGCTTGCACCAGTGGCAGTGGTGGTGCTATATCTTCATAGTTTTGAAGTGGCACGAGTTGAAGTTGAATTTGGACATCGTCAATTACGTTACCGTCACTAATAGTAATCACTCCGTGAATCAAGGACAGAGAAGATATAATCCATAAAGGGGAGAATGTTTGCTGACGATCTCGTGGTAGCAAACGAAAACTAAGATTGTGGCGAATATACAACAAGCAGTATAAGAGTGACTGTTTCTGTTGGACCATTCGCGTTCTCTTCATAAAAGTGGAGTCACTGCAGTTTGTTATTAGTGTTAGAGTCAAGGTAATAGGTTTACCATAACAAGTGCCTCAGTGTTGCATGGGAGTTCCGCAACTGGTTGCTAAAGTTTTGCAGTTTCTAACAACAGCGGTATTAGTTTCTCAAGCCAGTCGATTATGTCACGGGTACGGATAGAGATCGGCAGTCTTCAGAGACACCAACAATATATCGATTCAAACCTACTACCGAATGAAAAATAGAGAGGTGCGAGTCATCATCCTTCCTTAGCTTAAAACTTCGCATAAACTGACTATTACGTTTCATCACATCATTCCAAGCTTTTCAATCATCTTAGTTTTAATAATTAAAGGCTGTGAATGTTACCTTTTAAATTAATTTCACCCTTTCCAAACTTGTTGAATGGACACTTATCTTTTTCACATGTCATCTCACTTTTGTATCTCCTTCAATTCTTGGCTGCTAAACAAATTCCTCAGACACATGATTGTTAGGTTTGAACTATTATGGGTTCACCTTAGTCGATAAACGCGAACGAGACAATGGACCAGCGTCCAGGTAGGCTACCTTGATCCGAACGGCTAAATAGAAGTCTTGATATGGCGTAGAAAGTATGTTCTAAAAATACCCAGCAAGTTCAGTACAATCAAGCATACAAATCTTGTTTATTTACACGTCATATAAACGTCCTTGGGACAGTCACGAAAATAGCACACTAACATACACAGCAGCCAATCAATCCCACAATCCTGGTGGCAAATGAAATCTCATGGTCAGCTGGTCAGCTCATGCTGGCAAACGCGAATTTATAAAATAAAACATTTATCAAGCGAATTAACATTTGTTACTTCGCTTACTTAGTAAAGTCTGTACCGAGCGCTGGTCACAGAGGTAAACTCTGTAACACCATTGGGTATGTTCAACAGGCATAAGGTAATGTAGTGTGGAAAGCGTCAAGTTCAGTTTATTACTAACAAATGTTTTTGATCAATATTTGTTCCAGCAGCATGGAAATCCTATTTAAAGTAGATGCAAAATCAGTGTATGGACTTGGGGTGCATAAGAGACCTGGTCTCAGGATACTCAGGTGACCTGACACTTTCCGAAAAAACAACGCTAATCAACCCGAGAGTACTCAGACTTATGGATGATATGATCATTATTATTTTGTTCATGAGTTCAGGTTAATTCTGCATAAAGTCTGTAACTGCCCAATGCTTGAACATGAAATATTTATATTCAGAATCTTCCAGATAAGCTTATTTCATTAGAAGGACCTTGAAAATGGATTGCATCTAGAAACGCCAAACGAGGTGTGGAAAATTAGAATCCGATACTATTTGCGAAAGGAGGGTTAGACCTTGATGTTAGTACTATATAACGCCACAAACTTGGAATACTGGAAGTCTACAAGCTGGATGTTTAAATTTTGTGTGCAAAGCTGTGGGTCCTAACTGCTGCCCCGGAGGATGCCTAGTATCGAAATGTGGGACACCTTGTTTTAACTGCATAGATAAAACTACTGCTGCGTTGTCGTGCCTACTCTTCCTCGAAAGATCATGAGACAATAGTATCACTCAAACTCACTTATGGATTCGACGGCAGCAAAAATCATTCAGTTTGATGTCAACAAAAAGTTGAAAATCTTGGAGCATGGGCCATTGTGTGACTACTTTGAGGAGTATATTCTAATTTTCTTAATAATATAGTAATAATATTGATAAACGTTTAAAATTTTTTGCAAAGTTCCAATAATTTGCAGAAGAAATAGACAAAAAATCTTTTTTATCGGTCGATATTGAACGAAATATCCATGACATGGTAAAAATAATCTTTGTTTTACTGCACCAAATGCTAAGACAGTGGTAAAACCGTGAAAGCTGTTATTTGTTAGGCGCCTGTAATGATATTGTTATGCGTTTCAGCATTTTTGGTGCACTTGACTTTGATCTTATACGTAGCATTACCGTTGATTGTGGAGCATTTTCCTGCTGTTTGTCGGAGACTTGTATTCAAAACACGTAGTGAGTTATTCTTTTAGCTATTACTTGCTATTGTAAATGTATGTGCTATGTGTTATAAAGTTATCAAATCGTCAACAAAGCTATTATTAGAGTGCAATTTAGATCGTCTCATAATGCGCGAAAATTCAGAATTATTTCTTTTACTTGACAAGTTAAACCTATTCTAGAAGATGCTAGTGTGACTTAGAAATGTTCAAAAATTATATAGCGTTACATACATTAGCTTCTATATATCCAAGGATTTGGCGAATTCGGTATCTGTATGGGATATAATATCCTTTTAACGAGCTAGCATAAAGTCGTTGGTTTCCTTTCGCTCGCTTCTTGTTCTTTCCGTGCGATTACATATATGTGGTAATACCCAATTTAAGGTATTCTAGCCACTTGATGTCACTAATCTAGTCAATCGGCAGTTTTTTATGAATGTTCGTCTCCTGCGATTTGAGTGGGTGCATTTGTTTCTGGGCTGTAGGGTTTCTGAATGACATATCAGTGACATAGTATCGGGCTAACTACATTGGCGAAAAAGGATCAGAGCGAATGCATAAAATATGAAGCTAGATACTGTCTATTTTCAAGCCTCTATTGCTACCTTAAAACTCTACGCCATTCAGCCTAGTTTAAATCATTGACTTGTCAATGCTCATGGACTACCAACTTAACATGACTTGAAGGAATAACATGACTTCATGTAAACACATGCTAGTCTATTCAAAAGATTTGTGTCCTTTGACAATTGAGGACGATGGACAATTTTTCAACATCAAAAAGCAGATAGAATTATTTCAAAAGGAAGATAGAACAGTGAGTGGTACTCAAACGTACGTAAATTTGCACACACAAATAGTATGGGACGTTACTTAGATTGCTTACGGGATGCATGTTTTTTAGGTCTTGCAACTCACATTTATAAAAAATAACATACATTTCAATTGATATATATATATATATATATATATATATATATATATATATATATGATCTAAACGATGTATGCAAAGAATAATCAAACAATGAGATCGTTATGATCTGTGGACAAAGGTAACAGTTATGTTAGAGACCTCTTCTCTCGGCAGCTGGTCAAGTGGAAACATGGAGTTTTAGAGCGTTTAAGAGCGATGTTTGACACGCAGGTTTGGATCAAAATAGTGTTGAAAGATCAAAGTTGAATTTAAACAATTTTACAGTCAATAACAGTGATTGTTTCGATGAAGCAGAATTACGAAAAATATGAAAAATAGCTAAACTGGTTTACAAAATGAGTCTATGTTAAGCACTGCATATTAAGCTGTCATGTAAATAATTCCATCTGTTTGGCAAGAGTCAAACTCTTGAAGACTGTCATGCTTAGATGCAGTTATAAACAAGAGTACTTGATATTTTCCTGGAAATTATTATTCCACAAACTTAAGATTGTAGGTGATAATCAGCGGTTTGTTGAGTATCAACGATAACAAACACATACGAAGCAGTATCGAATCATTTTTTAATGGAGCACAATAATCTGTCTAGATCTTTTCATTTGCTCAAGTAGTAAAACAAGTATGACCTGGCTCCCTATCACTTATCTCAAAATTAGAGCGATATATTTGGGTAGCTAGCTTGAAAAGATTTTTAGGCCTGAGAGTTTAAGTCACGCCAGGTTAGTTTTGATATATTTTTATTTTAGTTTATTAGACAGAGGGATTTAAAGGGTTTAGTTTTGATTTGCAGTCTACTTGATAGCGCTGAATGTTTTAAAACTCTACCAAGGGATGAAGATAGCATTGCAGACATTGTATCTAAAGCTGATCGTACTGTTCGATTTCGAGGATAAAAGAAGCTGTTCTTGAGTTTCATGTACTAGATACCTCGAAGTGTTTGAGAACTTTTGATTCCCTTGACAGGTTAGAATTATCAAACCTACTTGGTGAAAAATAAGTGTGATATTTCATCGATTTTAATAAGAAGTTTCTTACTGGTAGTGGTTTTTTAATTAGATAATAATCCCCGACCGTAGGTGCTACCTTGATATCGTGGTCGGGATCGCCTATCGTAATGAACCAACCGAGCTATATTGGCTGAAACATACGTTCCTGAGGGTTTCATCATGCCAAACAGGTCGATTGAAGAACGGAAAGACTAAAAGCAGCTACTCAAGGTTTGAGGACGAAGTCGTACTGATGACTGTGATGGAGGGGCGTGGCAGCAGTAAGGTATTTCCCTTAGGCAACCAGCATCTGCAGCGATGCTGCCTTCTCACAAGGAAGGAAGGGTTAGAAAAGGTCGACACTAAAAATGTCACATCTCACCCTACCTTACGGATTTCCGTCTCCGTCGGTAAGGGTGCCCACTAAGGGCTTTCAAGAGCAAAGCTAATACTCAAAAAACTTTTCATAAGAAGGCCGTGCGTGACCGACCTCAAGCAGTTGTCCCTTGGGCTCTGCGGTCACGCTCCTAGGTCGTTAAGACCAACGCTAATCTGCTTTCCTTTTCAGGTTCTTCAAGAAACACCCTTCCACGGTGTGGGCAGCCGGGAAGTAACATCCGACCTTATACCCGTAACAGCACACGAGACCAAATTGGTCACAATCAAATACTTTCTACACCTCTTAATAACTCTCTTGTCTCCTCGACCAACCCTTCTTTCGATCGTTTATCACCTCACGCCACTGAAGCGAATGGTATGAGCTCACAAAACATTATTCCTGGTCTCCTGAAATCCCGTATTAAATGACATAGGATCTTTTAATGTTCGGACCCTATGCCAAATAGGGCAACCGGCTTCATTAGCTAGAACTCTGGAATCTCGGGCAATCAATGTCTGTTGCGTCTCCGAAACGCGCATACAAGATCCAAGTAAAATCATCAATTTGATCTGACCTAGTGCAGATAGAGACACAACAAGGTTTAAGCTTCGTGTTTCTGGAAGACCTGATTCCTCTTCTCGTGGCCTCGCCGGCTTAGGTATATTATTAAGTCTTAGGGCAGAACAAGCTCTATTAGACTTGATCCCGATAGACAGTCGCTTATGCGCTGTTCGACTAAATGGGACGGTACGGACTCGGAAGGATGGGGGCACTCGCCGTTGCCTCTTCATCGTATCTGCCTTCGCTCTCACTGACTGCAGTTCAGACGACATGAAAGATAAGTTTTATAGAAACCTTTCTTAACTTCCCCAAAATGTTAAGCGCTCTGATATAGTAATAATGGCTGGTGACTTTAACGCTCAAGTAGGTAGACTCAGCGGAAATGAAAGATACGTGGGTGTATCTTGTGTTGTCGCGGCTAATAGAACAGATACTGGCAACCGTCTGCTGCAGCTATGCTCAGATAACTGCCCTATCCTATCAAACACTAACTTTAAGCATAAGATAAAACACCTTTTGACCTGGCGACCCCCAAAGTCGTCTCAACGCGGGACCCAACTAGATCCCATTGCCATCAGACACCCATGGAGGGGTTCGAAAGAGAACTGTCGGTCGTTCTGGGGCACATGTATAGATTCATATCATGCCCTAGTGCGAGCGCGTATTTGCTTGAGGCTTGTTGAACTTAGGAAGGACACCTCAAGTAAACGTCTTACGGTTCAATTTAATGAGAGCAAACTTAATTATATACTTCAGGAACAACTAGAAAGAGAGACAGGCAACCATGTGGTAAGTAATGCCCACCCTGAGGCAGCTTGGAATGATATCGAAAAGGCTGTGGGAACAGCAGTGATATCTTCTAGTAAGATAAACCATAAGGTTAGGGAGAAGCCGTGGATATCAGTAGCACCTACCCAACTGATGGATGCTCGAAAACTCATCCCTCCTGGTTCAGAGTACGATGAGGAGCGGAGTCAGATCAGGCGCAGGCTGATAAAAAGCCTTCTCAATGATCGAGAACACTGGTGGGTAGCGAAAGCAAGGGAGATGGAAAAGGCAACAGCGATAGGCTACAGTAGGCAACTATTCAGACTCATCAAGGAAACCGGTATTAGGAACCCGAATGTGAGTGAAACTATGTCGGAAAAGGATGGTCTTATTATCCATTCTCAATCCAGGAAACTGGACTGATGGGCAGAACACTCCAGAGATCAGTTCAACTGGTCTTCAGCCACACTTCGGTTACCCCTGACCTACAGTCATCCTGAATGGCAGATCGACCTAAGACCTCCGAACCGTTATGAAACTGAAAAGGCTACAGGAAATATAAAGCGAGGGCGAGCAGCAGGAACCGATCGATTGACTCCTGAGGTTTTTAAGGATGGTGATCCAGTCTTAGCAGCTAGATTGACTGAGATCTTAGGTAGAATCTGAGAACTAAACACAATCCCATCCGACCGGTCTCAATTCCTGATTGTCTCAATTTATAAGAAAGGACAAAAGTCTTCTTGTGACAATCACGGTGGGATAAGTCTAACTGATATAGTTTCTAAATTGTTAGCCTCCATTATACTTAGACGCCTAACTAGTGCTCGTGAAGAGTAGACTCGAGAAAACCAGGCTGGTATGAGACCTGGACGTCGTTGTATAGACCACATCTTCACACTAAGACAGGTCCTGGAACACAGACACACATTTAAGCGTCCTACAATAATTGTTTTTCTGGACCTAAAAGCGGCATTTGACTCTGTTGATCGTGAGGTTCTGTGGCAGTGTCTGTCATTGAAAGGTGTACCGAAGAAGTACATTAACTGTATACAAGCTCTCTACTCGAACACCACTGGTCGAGTGAGAGCTTATGGCGAGATGTCACCGGAATTCTATACTTCAAGTGGTGTCCGTCAGGGATGTCCACTTCCCTCATTCTTGTTTAATTTTGTCATAGACATGCTGCTATATGTAACATTTTCCTCGTCCGACTTTTCAGGAGTCGAATTTCTGCCATGAAAATCGCCTACTGAACTAGGACCTGGTTGGGGTCAGCGATACGACAGTAATCGATGGTTAGAGACCTTGAATAACATGGCTCAGAATCGTTTGCAATGGCGCAGGTGCATCCACTCTTTGTGTTCTCCCAAATCCTAATCTTCTGAATCCCTCAACACCTCTACTTTTGTCTTTCTAAACCTATCTCACTGAATTATACTTCTTGAATAACATCTTTGAACCCTAATCTCTCCGATTACTTCTCATACTTTTACTACCTCTACTACTAAGGGATTTGAATTGACAATTGTATCTCTGTGCTAACGTGGTATGGCAACTTGAACTGCTGTACTCACGTACGAAGTTCTACGTTGCTGATGATGATGAGATAATAATCAGTAAGAAATATGATTAAAGATTTCATAAATCTTAATGGCTGGATTGAATGTGTCGTGTGATAGATCGAATTTTAAATATACTTTCAAACAATTAACTGACTGCCATGGAACAAGATGCTATTAAGCTGTGATTTTATTTCCGAGCATGTGGGCAAGCATGCAGTGAAAACTGTTTCGCTTACGAGCAATTGTATTGATTTCTGTTTTTTTGTACTTTTGGGTAAGTAAAAATAGAAGAGCATGAATGTAGCCAAATTTGTAGATTAAGCTATTTCAAATTGAGGACGTTTTGGATTGATTTTTCCACATGCAACTGGGGACTAATATCTTAATAACATGAATTCGAAAAGGCTGTATGCCCGTTCTTTATAAAATTTCGAACTAGGCTTCAAACTCCAGAACTTGACATATATTTGATCAAAATGTTATGAGAATAAATATCCCACACGATCGTAATTGCTGAAAGTAACTTTGTGATCCATAATTCGGAGCTTTTCAATAGGTATCTTAAATCAACGTCTTTGAGGTCGTCTGCAAACAATCGATTGCACTGTGTAGTATTATTATTAGTTTTCAGACTGTATGGTTGTTTCAACACAAGATGTACAAAACAGGCCTCAGCCTCATATATTCTATTCTGTCTGATTGAATTCGGAATGGATAATATTTGACCTTATGATTTCGTTCGTGTGTGTGTTCGAATTTAGTAAACAAAAAGTGATTTTGAATTTCTTTTTATCCAGGTGGACCTAGTTTCGGTTCCAGAGTCTATACGCATTTCGAATCTGTGGATATTCCAAGTGGACATGCACAGAATTTTTATATCACTTCTTTGGATGACAAAGCTCTATTAGGAGTATGGTAAGTCACATTCTGCTTGAAGAACTCAATTTAAATTTACTCGGCTCTTGTGTTGCAACTACGTATATAATTAAATGGACGAATTTTCTTGAGATATACGGTGGACAGTTTTTTATTTTTTCGTCCCTATTATCTGAACGCTTTCAAAACAATCAGCGGTTTCGATTCCACAACGCAAATGCTATATATATTACTAAAATTCACATGCCTTTTAAGTGTAGAATAATCATGTAATTAGTGGTTATTATCTGCCCTGAGGTTATGGATAAATATGTTTCGATAAACTCACATCCATATTAGCAAACATAAAGTGAAGTAGTAAGATGTCATTAATTACTGTATTTTTGAAGAAAACTAGAAGAAAAGCATTTTGTCGAATCAGAATCTACTGCGTTGGACTTGAAGGAATAGAGTTATTCGCAACTTGTCAAACTGAACATTGAATGTATGTCACAGTTTTTCCTTCGATAATCCGTTATTGGTAAAAAGAATTTCTTCGCAGAAGTGTTTATTCGATGGTAAATTTAAGATGTGGTTGAAATATAGGATACTTCGGAGTTAATCGACTTGGTACTTGTGAATTGTGACTAGATATTTTAATTTAGAAATTATTTTGCTTTTAAAATTTTGCAAAACTTTTTAATAGTGTAGAGGTTTGCGGAGATGATATTATTTCTATAGTTTTTAAATCAAGAACTGATTTCAGTTAGACTATTGTTGAAAACTTGGGAGTAATGGACAGCCATTTCATCCTGATCTGAGACTCTTCAGGAGCATCCATAATCCCGCATCTGAAAACGGAATCTAGAACCTTCGGTCTTGCGTGTGAATGCCTAACCTTTAGACCACTGGGCCGGCATTCAGCGGTGTTAATGTCTAATTTCACTCAAGTCACGAGACCGCGTGACAATTTCTCATTGAATACACTAGATATGTGTCTAAAACCCAGCATGTCTGTTTGAATTCTGTGTGTGCAAAGTTACTAACTGTGAGGACTAAACATTTTCGACTTTTATTAAGTCAATTTTAAGCCGTTTTGTCAATCTCGATTTTTATAAATAGAGCCTTTAATCTCCACTAATGAAGCCAAAAAATGATCATAAAAATTAGAACTGTGTATACTCTTATGATGTGTATGAAATAATTTGGACCGTAAAAGACCAGACATATAGGTAGATGATGGATAGTTGGTTCTTGTTAAATGACTCATGTGAGGTGGAGATATTCATCAAACAGCTAGTAGCTGGAACTTAAATTTAGCTAGAAAAGTTTTAAAAGTCAAATCCAATATATTTAACGTATATGCTTGACAGAATCTATGTTAACTACTTCTCTTGTTGATTTAAGTGATATAGTTCACTCACCGATAAATTTTTATTGATCTGTGAAAACTTTAGCCTAATTTGCTAATATACTTGATGATCAGCTAATTTATCGATAATCTTGTAGTTCAGTGATATGGTACTGAGCATAACGGCGTATTATGTCATTTAAAGCCATCGTTTACCATAATTATTTCAGTCTTTCTATTTCACGGAACTATGGCATGATCGATGCCCTGTTTACATTACTTAAGTTGGGTGGATCACGAATAAGCTTCGTAGTGAGTAATTAAGAAAAAATGGAAATCTTAAGAATCTGGAGTTAATCCAATGGTTTTTTATGTTACTTGGTTTTAAGGATCATATTTTTATATAGATTATGTATAATGAGTAAGTTGTGCAGAAATTAAGGTTATTAAAAAAAAACAACTTAAAATCATGTATACTTTGTAAAAGTTCAGTCTAAAATCATTTACTTTCTACGTTTTGAGCATAAATTATTTATACCATAGGGTTGAGAAAAATCATTTTAAAATTATTTTTAATTCCACCTGTTATAAATCCTACAATTGTTAGATTAGTCTGTATAAATAGAGTAAATGATCGGACCAAAATATTAATGTTCAAATTATACGAAAGTGTGCAAGACGGGAAATTTTGTAAGAAAAAAATTCAAGTATAAAAATAAGCTTAATTTTTATCAACGTTCTTTACTGATTAGTAATATAAAAAAAAATCGTAAACATTTTAACCATATAATTTACCATTATAGTATGATTAATATCATTTGATCCTAACTATATTATATCATGAGTATTTTGGACTTTTTTAAATATCACTAGGCATATTCTCCCATCAAATAATCAAGAAACTAGTACTACTGATTCCCAAAGTTATGAAGAAATACTGAATTCATTACCCAGTGATTTGCCTGTATTTATTTATTTCCATGGTAATTCTAAGTCAAGAGCTATTCCTTGGAGAGTAAACATCTATAAATTACTGTCATCTCTTGGCTATCATGTGTTTTGTTTTGATTACAGAGGTAAGTTGGATTTCTGGACTGAAAAAGTATTAACGGAAATTCTATAAATGTCAGAATTTTGGGTTTTTTTTGGCTCTTTATAATTTGACTTACTTGACGGGTTATATGCTTATTTTGGCATATAAGCTGTTTAACCACTGAGGTCACCCTTATTCTGCTAGCTAAAATCTGAAAAATAGTAACTATGTTCAATGGTAACTGATGTAAAAAGTGCCATTTTGTAAGTCAGTCAGTCAGTCAGTTGCAACGTAGAACTTCGTACGTAAGTACATCAGTTCATGTCGCCATACCACATCAGCACAGAGATGTAATTGTCAATTCAAATCCAATAGTAGAAGAGTTAGTGAGGGTATTAGAAGTAATCGGAGAGGTTAGGATTCGAAGATATTATTCAAGAAGTATGATTCAATGAGATAAGTTTAGAAAGTCAAAACTAGAGTTGTTGAAGAATCCAGAAGATTAGGATTTGAGAAAACACAAAGAATAAATGCACTGGCGCCATTGCGAACGATTTTGAGCCATGTCATTCAAGGTTTCTAGCCATAGATTATTATCATCTCGCGGACCCCAACCAGGTAGTCGACAATTACCGACATGACTCAGTCCACTCGTCAATGACTTCATGGATTTCTGCCATGTTTTGGTTTGGCCGCCCCTAGCTTTCTTCCAACCTATTCCTACACTACAAAGCAAAGCTCGACGAGGCAGTCGGTGGTTGGGCATACGCAACACATGTACCAACCACCTCATGTTGTAAGTAACTGTACATAATGATTGTGTAATAGAATTTTTCACTGATAAACATCTTAGTGACATTTTATTTAATAGTATGTAATACTTCTAAAATGATCTGTGTGCTTAATGAAACAGCCTTAATTGTTTTTTTAACAAATTATCTATTAAAGAACTGAATATACAGAAACTTAGTAGGTAATAAATAGTAAGGGAAACCATGTAATGGCATGACGGAATTACAAAAAGAGTTGCTCTAACTGAATACAATACAGTGAAATGAGTTCGGTACTTTAAGTATAGTTTTCATTTAAGTGGACCACTCAGTGAGATTGTTTAAAGAAGTTATGCTTGTTCAGTGCTATATTAACGACATTTTAGGTTGGCGCTGTTGACTATACAAGCTCCAAGTTCTTAAAAAGATGTCAAAATCGATAGTGAAATGTTAGCCCAGTTAAAATTCATTGTTAAGCATAGGCCGGTAAGTTGCATATATTAAACATTTCGACTCATATAAATATGAAGTTAAGTGGTTGCAATTTAATCAAGTAATGTACTCCTGTTTTACGAGTAAATGAAAAATTTAAAAACATTTATAGAACTGAATCAAATCTTCCCTATACCGAGATAACATTCATTTTTCAAATGTTATTTAATAATAATAATAATTGTATCAAATCGAGTTACTGAGTACAACTGGTTCATCTAGTTAGCATTAAGTTGAATTCGAAAGTCTGATTTTTAGTATTGCAGATGTTATTAATCTGTGGGCAAAAAGTCAAATAAATTTTGCAACTGAACACAAGAGATAATACTTCTAAAGAAATTCATCATACTTACTTGCAAGTGCAAGTACGGTGACAAACAAATGCAGTTAATCAAAGGAGGTTTCTTATCTCATTTATAAGTGATAAATGAGATGGGTAGTATATGAAGGTGAAGTTAATCTTTGCAGCTATTCGTAGATCATATTGTGGTGAGTATTACTTGAAATGAAGCTTATAAACAATAGGCAGCGGACTGTCGCCTGAAGTTACTGCCGAAGAGAGTTTTGAATCTGGATGAATGTCATGATCAGAGTGTTTTGAAGATCAAAAAGAAGAAGAAGACAGCCAAGAATACGCTTATTTTTCTAATGGATGTTTAAAGATAAGATGTTCATATTCCGGCTAGAAAACTGAACCTGCGATCTAACCATCCTCATTTATTACAGTATGAACGACTTCACTACATGGGCTCCTTTCGTTAATGAAAACTATGGAGAGGAAATTTCTCATTTAGAATTAACCTTGACATGAATACTCCTTAATATAAATGTTTTACACTAAAGATCAATTCTTCGACAAACCTTTTAAAACCTTCTATCACCTCAAAACTGTATGAACAATTAAGCAGCCCTGGAAGTTTTGATTGTTAAAAGACACTACGACGCATACTGCAGACATCCTGTGCAATGATTTTTTTCCCATGTGTTTCGTTGAATAAGTCCATTACAATAAAAATTTCAGCTACAGACAGTAGTAGAGTGCGAACGCTCGTCGTTTGATCTTCTACCGAACGAAAAGAACCATAGCTTCCTCTCATGAGCAACGTATAACGAACAAGTCACTGACCATCTGTTCATTGTCAACAACCAATCCACCGAACGCATATAATGGAAGGACCGACATCCAAAACCAATAACATGCCTAATATATAAGATATTAGGAGAAACACACCTTTAAGTATTTAATATAAAAGTCATGTCGAGTGTGAGGCGGCAACTTACCAAAAACAATGGATGAGGTCGCTCAATATCGTGGACTGAATGAATTTCGACATTACCATGCCGACTCAGTGGTTTAGAGGTTAGATGTTCGCATGCGAGACCGAAGGATCTTGGTCCGATTCTTGCCTATTGGGTCGTGGATGCGCATATCAGGATGAAACGGCAGTCTAGTGCTCTCAGGTTTCTAATGGTGATTTAACATTGATCGATCCATGGTTTCGATGAAACCCAACAATCTTCACAAACCTGTAATAACAAAAGCCATTCTCTTTGCGATGGCTATTCCAGATAATAAAACAACAAATAGTTCGGTACCCATAAACTGTTTATTGTCTGGCAAACTATTTTTCTGCTGGAAATCCAACATTAAAACACATCTCTTGAAATATATTTTCCACCTCGCTGTTTGAAAAAACATTTGAAATGACATGACTTGGATAAAATGTCCAATGAAGTTGACAGTTTTTATTATTCAGTAAGTAAGCTCTTCGTTGGACGATTTAAACTACATTTTTGATCGGTCTAAGGTCTAGGATGACAAAGTTATGCTGAAATACATTATCACACCCTAAAACCTTCATTTCTTGAAGATTACACATCATTCGAATTTACATAATTTTGTCCAATTAAACGCTGTCTAATTTTACGATGCTTGGTATGTGTGTAATATGTTATATCTAACTGAACTATATTATCTTTGGTAGTTAAAATAAGTTTGGCGATTTTTTAGTCAAAAATTCTAAGATGCATATTGGCATTTATCAAGCTAATGATACTATTTGAAATGTTAGATAAGAATTTTTGAAAATGTATAAATGGCTTTACACTTTAAACAATTGTTACTTGTAACATACAATTCACATTTACTGTAATGATATCTCAAACATAATAAATACTAAACGTTTTCTCATATACAAAGCTGAAGCCATGAAAATGTAACACAGAACTCAGTAAAAAGTATATGTTACAGGTTTATTCAGTGGATATACAATGCATAATCATATTTATACATACAAACATTGGCATTGTAAATTGTCATGAGTATAAAATGGCTAAATAATAAATTCTGTGATAACATTCGAACTAAATAAAAAAGTGTTGGCTTAATAGTTGGATTATGTGATGAGCCTTTTTTATGCAAATCGATTCACTGTTGACTTTAAGTATTAAAATGTACTCATTCTTTATACTACTTGAAATAGTCAGCTTCGCATTGTTTGTTATTTTACTTTATATGACTCCAGTTTTTCTTGCTAGAATCTGATTTCCACGATAGGTTTGTTTTGCTTTTCACAATTTTGTTAATTTCCTCTCAGTTTGTTTTTGAAGAGTGCAGTAACTCGATTCGAAATTAATTTTTCCTAGGTACCAAATTATTGGCATCTATATTTTGTCCTTCAGTAAATTCATTTTCACATGCTTTCTTTATAGTTACTTATTGTCCTTTAAATTGACAGTAGTTTTGTGTTTTCGTCAAGATTAGTAACAATACAATAAACTCAAACACCCCATTATATGCATCATATGACCAGTAGGTCATGCAAACACTCAGGTTCTCAAATTTCCAATCAGAAGGCTAATCCTACAATTCAGGTGATTGATTATGCAGATACAACTCAAAACTAAAACATATTACAATCTCAGTAGATATATATAACTAGAATATTGTTAATATAAATTCTATGTTTAATAGATTTCTACTTAAATACTTAAAATTTATAAGCTGTTAAATTAATCAAACAATGAATCGACAGAAAGCCTACAATTGGAACTAAATGAAAGTATCCTCTATATAGTTAGTGTATTTTTAATAAACTACCAAATGAAAATAAGCAGACGAATTCATCAGAGAATAGCTACTGATATTCGACATTTCTCTTTTTTGTTTTTCGTTTCTGCCTAACTATTAGACCTAAGATTATCTTTTCTTGTGTTATCCACAATTTTAATTTATCAATTCAAACCTTGAGAGTAAAATTATTTCAAAAATCATTCAGCTTAATTTCTTTCTCTATACACCATATTTTTCCTGTTTTATCTATTCTGTTTTCATAGTACAATCAGTATAGCTGCATTATTTATAAATTAATCTTTAAATTATATAGAATTTCAATTGAAACTGTTTTTTTTCAATAGATATCATATTTCCTAATAGATTATTTGAGTTAGCGCTATCGGAAATGTAAAATTCTATATTACTCTGCATATAATACAATTTTTCTCAAAATTCTTCTTCAATACATATTAAAGAATAGAGCCACTTAGGCCATGAATTCAACCTAGATTTCATAGTTCTTTTCTCTTTCTTCTGTAATTCATAACACAGAATACATAACGATGAAAATTACAATAAAAGAGTGATTTTATTATTCATTGAACTACATTGAAATTTTTTTTGTCAAAGTAACATCCTGAAAAATTGCCTGACCTTCTTAAATACTCAATTCAATTAAAAGATTTTGCAAACTGTTCCATTGATATTTGTCTTATTCTAACAAGCAGATAACATGGGAAAATGTGATATTTCTTTTGAAAAGTGTTCATAGTAATGTTTTATCATATGAGGTCGCCTTAAGATAATGTAAACGGCAATGTCAACAAAACAATCACTGAAATATATCACACATAGACGAACTGAGATCTGTTTCATTCTTCCCAAAAGTCATAGTTTCAATATGATTAGCTTTCTCAGCATTGCTGAAATGTGTCTGCCCCAATAATAATAAATTAATAATGGTTTTAAATACACATTGGGAATCGTTCAATATGTGATGAATAATTTTTTTTCGAAAACCATTAAGAACTTTCTTTTCGACGTGGCTTATACTTAAAAGTAGGGAGTTGACTCTCTTATAGTTGCTATTTTGTCTGTACTAATAATCTGTATCAGATTTCCTCTATAACTTGGTAATGGTTTAGGAGTAACATGCATTAAACGGGAATAATTTTTTAAGGGTCTGAAATCTATTGTTAAACCCCCTACCACCACCTCTGTACCCTTTCCACACCAATCAAAGGCATCATTTTGACGGCCAATGAAATGTCTTTTGTTGGACCCACAAAAGTAGTAAATTTAGTCATACAATATCATTTCTACGCAGCGTTTCTGATAGTCATGTCTGTTTCGAATGGTGAGGCTGATATGCTTATCAGGGAAATGCTGCCCGACCGTAGCTGCTACCTTGACGTGATGTTTGGGCTTGACTATCGTGATGACCCAGCCGAGCTATACTGGCTTGAACATATGTTTCTGAAGGTTCTACCATGCCAGGCAGGTCGATTGAAAAACCATGAGACTAAAAGCAGTTACTCAAGATCTGAGGGTGAAGTCGTACTGCTGACTGCAGAGGGATGTGACAGGAGTAAGGTGTTTCCCTCGGACAATCAGCATCCGCAGTGATGCTGCCTCCTCACAAAGAAAGGAAGGGTTAGAAAATGTCAATCGTAAAAATGTCACACCTCACCCTACCTCACGGATTTCCGTCTCCGTCGGTAAGAGTGCCCACTAAGCGCTTTTCATAAGAAGGCCGTGCGTGACCGACCTCAAGCAGTTATCCCTTGGTCTCTGTTGTCACGTACCCAGGTCTCTGAGACCAACGCTAATCTACTTTCCTTTTCAGGTTCCTTAAGAACCAACCTTCCACGGTGTGGGCAGCCGGGAAGTGACAACCGCCCTCATACCCGTAACAGTACACGTAACAGGGAAATGCTCGTCGGTGTAGGATTTTCAGCGGAAGCAGAACTCCTGAGACAAGTGAGGGCTTATTGCAATGTGAATTTTCGCCACTTCATAATGCAACACAGCCATCGAAATTCAAGTGATCTTTACATAAAACGATGGATTATCCTCACCGACCAACAACTTTTCAAGCGACAGAACATTTTGTTTCATCGTAAATTCTTTATCCGTTTGTCTCGACAGCCTGTTGGTAGTTGTTATAAATCCTGCTATTTGTTCAGTAGATAGAAGGCCTTTATTCAGTAGCTAGATGGTCGATGAGTCATAATCATAAGTTATTGCGTGTCACCTATGGGAAAGATCATCGCTTTCGCCGATTGATAGTCAATCAGAAGAGTCTGATCCTCCCCTTTTTAAAGTCCGGAGCTGGAGCTTTCATTATCGTCGATTTCGTGGACTAAAATTAGGGAAGGAATTTGATTGCCAGAGATGTTTTCTATAAGCGACGACATTTATTTCAACGATCAAAACTTCAAGGTCAATCTAACTTTAATTATCTCAACTTGGTAGGTGATTTTAGGACATTAGTTACGTATATAACTGATCTTAAAAGGAAAGCTGGGACGTATTGGGAAGTGGGCGGCTGTTCAGAATACTACTTTTCTTACCAGTAGACCAAAAATATAGCTTGTCGTTGGTAAGTATAAGGGCTACAAAGAGGGTATGTCTCTATACGAGATTAGCAGATTCTTAGCCATCTTTCGAGACAGTGTTTTAGCTGGGATATCTGTGAAATCTTTCACCATTGACGACAGTCTTGCCATATAAATATAAAATGGTAAAATTATTTGAATTTTATTCCCCACTACTTCACTCCGTACGAAACTTAATAGTCAATGTTCACTATCGCTTACTAGTATTAGTTATGCTTCACCGTTACTGTCAATAATAAAATCCATGCTTCGTATCGTGAATATATTTTAAATTTTCGACATGTTTGTGTTGATTTAAGGTTATGGAGACTCAACTGGGTCACTAACTGGAGAAAATGACTGTCTTTTGGATAGTTTAGCAGTTGTTCGATTTGTTTGTCAACGGTTTCCTTCAGTGCCGATTTTCTTTTGGGGTCATTCACTTGGCACTGGGTAAGAAGCATTTTTTATATTTACTAACATCTGCTAATAGTTACATATTTCAATCACGTGTAAACGTTTTTTAGCATACAGCAATGAAATTATTTTCTATATACCCTTCACAAATGGTTCAGCATGGTTGAGGCTGGACAGAGTCTGCTAGTCCTCTAGAAGTGCTTTCATTCTACCCAGCTCTTGTAGCTTTTACCAAGGATCTTTTTACCCCACTTTATATTGTAGTGATTTTTTCATCGAGCTCCAACAGTAAGAATGATATTTGGCGGATATGTAGTTTTTACCATTTTAGTTTTTTTTAACACAATAGATTCTGTGGTATAGAAAGCAAACTAATTTACCATTACTTTTATAGTCTTTAATCAATGTATAACTAGATGGTAGATTTGTATTGTACATGTTTTCTGTTGATAGGGTTGTCGGTTGTCTTATGGATCATTTGACAAAAGAGCATAATTCTCTATTAAATGTTCGTCTTCCAAAAGGTATTATTCTTGATGCTCCATTTACGTGCTTGACTGACGTAATTCATCACAGAATAATTATGAAGGTAAATCTACTTTCCAATTTTAATAACTTTCATGATATTGTTTTATAAAATTTGGATATTATCTCTGTGACACTAAAAATAAAAACTTTTGTTCTGTCTAATTTAGTTGTACATTTGTTTTTGAATAAAAATGAGAGCATCAGACGAAATCTAGTCTAGAAAAAAAGTTTCAGAGACAGGCCTGGTAATGCGTATGTTTTTTTTTCATCGCGATGTTACTGGTAATAGCCAAGTGGTTTTATTGTAGTGGTTTGTCTTCGAGGTAATTTCTATAATTTGTATATTACTTTTACTGATGACCGTGTGTAAATTTTAGAAGACAGTACGAAGCGTCGACTATAGTTTATTGTCACATAGAGCAGATCACAGAGTTCTAAACACATGAAACGAATGCGAAAATATATGCGGATGCGAAAGAACAAATGAATAGGGGCAATTACAGCAATTAACATTTACGCTAGTAAGAGGAATTTGTATGAAGGCTGTAGCACGTGACCCAGTATACATCTTCATCAAACATGATAAAAATAATACAAGTGATACAGACATATTGTTGCTGATCTAATGTCAATGTCTGTTAAATAAATTAATCGAAGGACTTTACCAAATTAAACGTATACAGACTCATGTGTAAGCCAGATTTTGGTAACCTGCATCTGACTCCAGTTTAGACGAACGATTGAATATTCTATGAAATAAATCTTTCTTTGAATTTTCGCATATCATTCTTAGGTAAACCCTGGTTGTTGTGACTAAAAGTTTGATGCGTTTCATTTTGGATGAATTCATTTCATACACTCGTGTCAGCGAACAGACAGTAGAATGAGAAGCGTAAAAGTGAAACAAAGTGAATTGCTGAAAGCGAATGAGCTAACTCAAGTCAGACAAAAATAAACTGGACGTGTGATAGGCAACGTAAGCAATGCACATACGCATTCAAAGAAAACAACCAGGGTTATAAGCGAATAATTAATAAGATCAAAAGACGTGATCGATAAATCGAAGAAAATAAATTAACTAGTTTGTCCAAAGTCTAGGACAAGCTATGCGAGCTCGACACAAGTGTACACTACAACGTGTTATATTGTAATCTTAATCAGAGTTTGTTTACTGAATATTTTTTGTAACACTTGATACCCGAATGAAACAACTATTATGTGAACAAAAAAATATTATCAACCTGGGACTGCAAAGTCAAACTATTCTGATAGATTTTATGCTGAAATTAATTTTTAATATTAGGTTTTAAGACGTTCAATGACAAAATTACTGGTTCGTTGGCTTTCCAGTTCTACTTCCATAAATAGATCATATTTATAGTGTTATCACTTGCTAATTGACTTCATTTTACTGTTCGGCTTTTTTGCTATGGTTGTTTAAATTGAAAACTTGAATACATTTTTCCATGATGTAAATGAAACATATATTATCAAATTAAGTTAAATGATAATTTCAAAATAATATCCACTAATTATTTGCATTTTAATGTCATTTTTTTTTCATTATAGCCTTATCAATTGATACCAACTTTACAAGGACGATTGGTATCTGCTATGAATAAAGTGCAATTATCATTTAATACACAATCAAAGTAAGTTGTTTAAAATAATATGTAGCGTTTAAATATTTCATTCTGGTATCATTTAGAAAAAAACAACCGAACAATCGATAACCCGACTGAAAATGAGATATTTTAAAGTTATAAAATAAAGATATACATAATTATTTAATCTATTAAAACAATACATTTTGAACAGTCGAGCACATATTAACTAGTTAAATTACCAACTAGATAGTTGGAACTAAAGGATTTAATCGATTGTCCCACTGATTATGCTTAACTTGAAACACTCACTTCAATTTTATGATGATGGAAGTTCAGTGACTACATAAAATCAAGCCTATGATTTCCATTCTAAATAAGCCAAATCCCATGAGTAGGACATTCAATACATATGAAAATAGATGTTGTCGTTACTAAAAGCAACAACAAAAGATCTGATTTTAAGTCTTGACGTATCAGTCACTTTTAAAGTTGCACATATGGCTTTCTTCAAACAAATTGCAACAAATACGATGTACACTTTTTTCAAACTATGAAAATGTAAGCTAAATAAATATACAAAGTCAATAAACTGCTCATCAAATTATTGTTAATCTATGTTTACAACGGTGTTAATGCTTCACTTGGATCTATAATTAACACTGCATAATACCATATGATGTTAAGTGCCAGCAATTCATTTTCTTCTTGAAGTTGCATATAAATATGTTATTTTAAGTGTGAGAAAGAAGCTATGAATAGAGTAGTTTATGTAGAAAAAAGAGCTAGTCCGAATGAATTTTATTCGTATGTTTGTTTTTTTTTGTTGTTGATGAAAACATGTTCCTATTTAATTTTGAGTACTATTTAATTATAAATCTCTACTAAAACTTTTTCAAGTAATTATTTTCAAATGATATATATATATATATATATATATATATATATATATATATATATATATATATTTAAAAAACGCTACATTAGAGCGAAATGTAATGGCAGTTAAATTGATAAGGAATGATTGAAAACAATCCGTACGATAATAATTCATATTTGTTGCGATTTGTTTGAACAAAGCCGTATGTGCAACTTTAAAATGACTGATAAGTCAAGAAAGACTTAAAATCAGATCTTTTGTTGTTGCTTTTAGTAACCGCAACATCTTTTTTCCATATAAATTGAATGTCCCACTCATGGGATTTGACTTATTTTAAATGGAAATCATAGGATAGTAAACATTTTCGGGGCTTGATTTTATGTAGTCACTAAACTTCCGTCATCATGGAATTGAAGTGAGTGTTTCAAGCTCACCGCAACTAGTGAGTCCTTTTTTATGTACATGTATTTTTCCTAATTGTATGTTCTCATTTCATTAGTAAATATCATGATTAAATTATCTACAATATTTTTTTACGATGTGTTTTGAATACTGTACACATGTAGTCGGTCTTATTGATTACGTCGGTACTACGTTTCACTATACCTCTTATGTAGCATCGAGCACAAATTTAATCACTGTTTTTAGGCGTGTTTATATATGGACATAACATAGTGTATCTATATTCTTAAAACAACTCGTCACTTTACTGATTATTCTTACTGTTTATAAACAAAAGGAAACCAAATGATTATGTTTCATACAACTTGAATAAAGAAACAATCGATATTCTGTCATCAGAACATGAATTTATTTATTTCATGAATTCTCTTCAGCTGATTACAATGACGTTTTCAGCATAAAGTATGCAGATTTGTTTCATTTTAGTGATTAACAATATTGTTTTTGGTTGTAAGCAGCTGAGGAGAACCTATGAAATAAACAAATTCATATTATTCTGCCTGGATATTTATTCTTTCTTTATTCAAAATAAAGAAATATGTATATGGTGTTTATAATTTTAAATCGCTTCTCTTTCAAAAACATGAAATAAATTTGATCACGACCTAAAATAGTGGTCTTAATTTGTGATTTGAGAATCAACTTTTCAATGCAAAAAAATTGCAAATTTTTTTTTTACTGTGTATATCAATGTTTGTAGAGTGAACCGCGTGAAATATGTTTAGTTAAAATAATCTTCTTTTATGTTGTCACACCATGGTTTTTTTAATTATTGTCCTTCAAATAGGATGAGAGTTCGATCGATCAGACTATTTATTATCGATTGAATTGGTTTTCACATTGCACTATTAGTAGTTAAAAATGAAATTAAAATTGTTCACATCAGTATTCACTTAACTCAAAAAGCTTAGATTTAATGGAATAAGACGCACATTTTGAGATACTGTTCAAATACATCATAGATTTTATTTTAACTTAGTAGTATTGTTCATGATGTTATTGTTTACTCTTAGGTATGAGTATGAGTAATATCAATAGTATCTAAAGTCAAACAATGATAATTTGCTCAAATAAAACCAATATAAAAAAGATTCGAATTTTTACGTCAGACTGAGTGAAAAAATTGTTCAGCTACAATTGTTAAGTCACAACAATAAGCAAAGGTGTTAGAAAAGAGAGAGATAATATTTAGTGTGCGAAAGTAGATGACCACATACATCTATTTGTATTGTATTGTTTTCCAAACTATACTATTATTTATATATATTCAAGTGAATTCGAATAAGGGAATAATAAAAATAATCTATCTTTCATATTACGTCATCATATATTCAGCTTTATTTATGTTCTATTATTTTGCATGAGAATTTGTAATATACTGGCTATTCGCTTGATCGAACTGAAAGTATTTGAAGCGGAGTTTGGACTTGTTATTATAATGGCTAAAAAAATGTGTGCTTTCATCGATTTCGTTTATAAAATAGCATGTATGTATGCTAGTCAAATAACTTTGGTGGTTTAAATTATAGCGAATTGAGTTTTCTAGCATATAAGTTAAATGAAAAAAAAAATAAGAGAATTTGAATTATAAACTTGAGCTTACTTTTGATAGTATTAAGAAAAAAAACAACTAGTTTGGAAAATGTAACATTTCTAAGCTAAATAATAAGTTGGTGGCATACATACACTTATCAACATGCTTACTAATTAAATTCAGTCAAAAATAGGTTAAATACAAAATGATAATTTGGAAGTAAAGTAAAGAAAAAATTACATATTATGGAAAGAATGAAAAGTTATCGTATCATGTTAGACATATTCATGATGAATTAGTTTTCTACATAAAAAAAAGAGATTTGATTTTCTCAAAAATCAAGGCTTCCACCCAAGAGAAGTTCCGTACAAATTTTTAAACCATATTTCAAAATACAGTTTTATGACCAATTTAAATAAAGTATTTGGCATTCCTTATTCGTTGGTCCCATGATGAACGAGCAATGCTTCAAAGGCACGTATGATCGAATACTAATACCCCTACGAATATCCTGTACTCAGTTTCGTAGCCATATAGTAGGACGAACGAACTGCTGCACAGTAAACCCGCTTTTGGTTAGTAAGCAGATATCTCGCCTACGCCATAAAAGATACAAATTCGCAAGAACTAGTCAAAACCTTTTCTGTCCATGAAGAGATTTCGTCAGACAACAGGCCTTCAGCACTGATGAGCTTCCCAAGATAAGTGAAGTGGTCAACACGCTCAACTTCTTCACTCCATATCCACTAGTTTAGATGCTGAAGGAAGCCAATTCTGAGGCAATATTTCGAATTTTGAGGGGTATAGTCGCAACGCGAACATTCTTGAGCTGTTGCTTAGGATAATTGGAAGACTGCGTTTTGTCAGCGTCTTCACCAAATAGATTTATGTCATCGGCATAAGTCAACAAGCGAGTCTTCTGGTAAATGTTCAATTCCTGAAAAGTCAAATGATGCCAATATCATATCTGAAAGCACGTCAACGACAAAGTTAAATAAGAAGGAAGAAAGTGAACTGTCCTGACGGACACCACCCGAAGTAATCAGCTGCGATGACAGTTGGCTATCATCTCCTATTCCGCCAGGACCTGATGAAGAGTGGATCTGTGGTCTATACATCCACGTTCAGGTCGGAAACCAGCTTGGTTTTCCCTAGTTTGCTCTTCTTGAGCTCCTGTTAGGCGTCTATCAATTCTGACACTATATTAGGTACAGTTATTCTTCTGTTAATGTCTCAAGAGAACATTTGTCCTTTCTTATAGACTGGTACATTCAGCGATTGAAACCGGTCGGACGGGATTATACCCAGTCACCACATTCTACTCAAGATTTCAGTCGATGTAACTGCTAAAACTGAACAACCATCCTTAAAAATCTCTAGGGTCGACTCACCAGGACCTGCTGCTCTCTCTCACTTCAGATTTCCTAAAGTCTTTTCAACCTCAGGATGAGTTAAAGATTTTACATCAGTTCGCCATTCAGGTTGAGTGGAGATCGAGGGCAACCGAAGTGTGGCTGAAGGCCAGTCGATCTGATCTATCAGCCTATCGATCAAGTCTCTTGGATTGAGAATGAATAAAAGTCCCATCTTTTTCCGAGATAGTCTCACTAAAAGTCCGATTCCTAATTCCGGTTTCCTTGATTAGTCTGACCAGTTTACTACTGTTATCTACTCCTGGTGTCTTTTCCATCACTCTTGCTTTCACTACTCACCTTTGTTCGTGATCATTGCTTAGGATTTTATCAGCCTGCGGTTAAGCTGACTCTGCTCTTCGTCATGTTCATAGCCAGACAGGATGAGTTTCTGAGGACCTTTGAGTTCGGTAGATGCTACTGAGATTTGTCGTTTTTCTCAAACTTTATGGTTTACCTTACTGGCAGATGTCACTGCTGTTTCCACACTCTTTTGATATCGTTCGAAGCTGCCTCGGGATGAACATCACTTACTACATGACCGGACAACCGTTTTTCTAGTTGTTCCTGCTACCATTTAGTAGAACCATAAGAGGTTTTCGTGGAGTATCTTTCTTACGTCCACTAAGCCACAAGCAGTTACGCCCTCACACTGGAGCATAGTTTGAATCTAAACAAGTGATCCATAATGGGCGGCAGTCTTCGATAGAGCTTCCCCATTGATGGTTGATAGTAATGTGGTCCAGTTGTGTCCATCGTTGCGTCGGCTTTGGGGATCGCCAGATGAAGAGATGTTTTTCCTTATGCTTGAATTTAGTGTTTGCTAGATAAAGGCGATTATCTAAGTATTGCTGCAACGGGCGTTCTCCATTATCTAATCTTTAAGCCACGACATCATAAGATCCGCCCAGGAGTCTTTCTTTTCACTGAGTCTGTCTACTTGAACATCAAAGTCACCATCCATTATCACTATATCAGAGCGATTAACATTTTGAGGAAGTTTAGAGAGGTTTCTGTAAAACTCATCTTTCACCTCGTCTGAACTGTAGTCAGTGGGAACGTAGGTATAGACAACAAAGAGGCGATGGCAAGTGTCCCTATCTTTACGAGTCCTTACTGTCCTGTTTGTTTGGATAGCGCATAAGCGACTGTCTATCGGAATCCATTTTAAGAGAGCTAGTCCTGACGTAGGATTTAATACCATATATACACGAGTGAGTGTACGGGATGCAGCAGCAGGGCTTACAGATACATGGAGCTTAAAGTGAGTTGGTTCTTTATGTGGACAAGGTGAAATCAGATTGATGAATTTACTAGGATCTTGTATGCGCGTTTCGGAGACGCACCATACATAGATGGCATGAGATCCCAGAGTCGTAGCTAAGGAGTCGCGTTGCCCTATATGACACACGTAAAGATGAGGTGTGAAATCTTCAGGGTCGACCTTTTCTAACATCTTCCTTCCTTGTGAGGAAGCTGCCTCGCCGCAGAAGCTGGTTGTCCGTCAGAAACACCTTACTGCTGCCTCACCCCTCTTCAGTCAGCAGTACAACTTCTCCCTCACACCACCACTTGTCCTCTCCCTTCCACCACCATTGATTACATAGTTCACGTACTTCTCATAACGTTTATGTTTCACCAGCTTCATATGGATTAGTAAATGCCATGAACTGTGATGTAATTACCTATGCGCTGTTGAAGCCTGGGTGGAACAATAGGTTTAGTTTTCTCAAGGACAATCAATTTAGCAGCACATAATATATTTTGAAATTCATGCTTTCGTACAACTTCATATTATTTGTTAAAGCGTGATGTCTGCATACAAAATGATTGTTGACTTAAGTTTAAATATTTTGTTCCAGAAAGATTATAAAAATACTTTGTTTACCGTTATTTACATAACAAACATTGAGTTAGACTTGACTTGGTAAATATCATTCACTTACTAAGAGGAAATAATAAAAATAACTTAGTAATTCAGACAGTCAACTTGTAACACATTAGAACGCAAGTTCAAATTTCAATTTGATTAGCTGTATGGTGTCACTAGATCTTACGTCATGGACATTTAAAGTCGTAGCTAGAATACCTTATTCTGTACTTCATTAACTGGGTCATATTCACTCGCAAGTTTAGTAAACTTATAATTTATTGTCAAAATATAAAGGTTTCCACCTTGAGTACTCACTAATTCAAGAGAAGTTTTCAGTAAATCAATTGTCAAAGCAATTTATACATAGATTGTCTGTCACTCTATAATCAAAATATTGAATGGATATTTGTAGAAAATCACCTGACAATCATTGTTGATTTTGATGAGGTCGCTTAGTGATTTATATACGAATATTGAATCGAAATTAGGTCATGTATATTTATAGCAAAGCTTCCGTTAATAACAACTGTTTTTACTTTGAAATTTTCTATAACACGACTCATTTATTTTATGTTGAATTCTATGATTAAAAAAAAGTCGTAATTATTGGTCCAGTTCAAATTGATTTTGTTATTAAAGAAAAAATTCAAGGGCAACATTTGACTAGCATATCTAGCTGATTATATTTTATCTCCATAAGCAATATTCCCTAGATTTCTTTCTATTCAGTTCAGTGGTAGATGAAAAAAAACTAACAATCATCAAGTAGATTCATTTTATTCACACTTGTTCATTACACCCTCGAATGTATGCAATCACAGTTGATAATATGAAAATTAATTGATAAATATATATAAAAATAAATGCTAATTTCTGTTGACCCATAACGTATTTTGTGTAAGTTTAAATACAAAATCAACATATTCACAATCCAGCAGATTTCGATTCATTACATATACTAACTTTAACTCCAATCAATTCTCATAAACCCGTCAACAGAACATTAACTATGTGCTTATTTAAGAATTACATAAACTTGTTGCAGGTATCCATAACTGGTAAAGCCCAATCATGTTCGAAGTGAAGAAAATGATGTTAAACGACTGTAGTTATATTGCGAATCAATTCATGTAAAAAAATCTAGATAGTTAGATTTCGATTCAGTGGTCTAATTGTTCAGCTTTCGTTTGAGACTTTACGGTTAAGTGTCCGATTACTGGTAGAGACCTGAGTGACCAATGTTGAGGAGTACCTTAGTTTCTATCATTTTGTGATTAAGATCAATGTAAAATGACCTTCCCAAACGCTGCAATCAATGAATGCGATTTCGTAGTCAAGAGTGAGGCAGATAAATAACATCACTATGGTTTTAGTATATTGTTGTAAGTAAAATGGTCAAACATGGTAGTGGAAGAGGTCATTGAATTAAGATTCCTTTATTTTTTCTTTAATTTTATAACTATATTTGTTTGAGGACAAACATAAACAGAAGTTAATATTCGCTATGAAATACAACATCCTAGCTTTCCATTCTGCTATATTTGTTTCATAAAATATCTTACTGAAGGTGTTATATTTTTTGTTTTTCTAGCCTAATTAATTGTCCCATTCCAATAATCATATTACACGCTGAAGATGACGCTGTTGTGCCATTTACGTTAGGAAAAAAGGTAATCATTTACAAAGTTTTGTTTTATAAAACATTTAGCGAATACACATGTCATACACCAATTTCTCTTTATTATCTTGAAGAAATTAAGGACAACATTAATTCCATTTTATTTCGTTAGGTTCTCATCAGCAACTTAGAATATATATATATATATATATATATATATATATATATATATATATATATATATATATATATATATATATATATATATATATATATATACTGTTGGGGACGTTAGATCCCCAGAACTCGCTTGATAAATGCCTTATTTTGGATTTCACGTTTGCGAGCATGGGCTGATCAGTTGACCTTGAGATTTCATTTTCCACCAGGAAAATCCTTGGCTGTGATTGGCTGCTGTGTATTTTAGTGTGCTATTTTTGTGACTGTCCCAAGGACGTTTCTATGATGTATAAATAAACGAGAGTTGTGTGATTGATTGTATTGTGCTTGCTGGGTGTTTGTAGAATATACTTTCTGTGCTATACGAAGACTTCTCTTTAGCCGTTCCGGATCAATGTAGCCTACCTGGACGCTGGTTTATTGTCTCGTTCTCGTTTATCGACTAAGGCGAACCCGTAATAGTTTCAAGCATACCTAGTGACAAACCTTATATATATATATATATATATATATATATAAATTGTATTTATGTCATCATGGTAGTGTTGCCATTTGAATGAATCTAATGAGATTGAACTGCTGTAAATGAACCACCAGACTTAATAACAGGAAATCATAGAAATAAAATAATTAATTCATTATACGATGAAGTAGTTGAATGTAAATTAATTGCATAAGTTGAAATCAATTCGTTGAAGTAAAATTCTGAGTTTGAAAGGAGTGATGTGATCAGAACACGATAAAAAAGAGATCAAGCTTGAAAGGAACAATTGACAAAATTGCATATGATGAGACATCTCTCGACGATACTTTTATTATATGTAATAATCAAGGAAAAGCAAAAATGCCGGTCAAATCTTCTCATCGATGCCTATAAAAATGTCCAGTTTATCTTGAGACATGTAGATGATGATAATACCATAAAACAAATGTTAGTATCCTTTATCCAGTTGATTAGAAAAAGGCACTTGTCAAAACGCCATCTCCTAGAACGAAAAGAATATATATTACAAATACACAGAAAGCGGAATTAATTAATTAATTAACATTAAAAACTTATTTATTTATTGACTTTTAGGGAAACACAATAATGTTGAATCATTATTGTGTTTACTCGAGCGAGTGTGGTTGTTAATCACTCAATGTTTATTCATGGGAAAGATAGTATGATCAATAAAGTAAATAGATAAAAATTTATAATCAATTATTCAAATCGTCCAATGAAAATTCTAATCCAATACTATTGTTTCTTTTTATACATTTGGAATATGTAATAGAAAAAAAAAGTATTGACAAACTTCCTCAATTTAATTTCTGAAACATGTACAAAAACATCTCATACCACTGAAATAGACGTTATTCAAAGTTACTTGTAGAAATTCTTGGTTTACTCACAGATGCTTTTACTGCATAACTCTCATATTATAGCATCAACTTGGTGTCAAGATTATTCATCTCCTCACAAAATGAATATTTCTTGCATACCAACTCAGTTTTCAACTATGAAAATCCGCTTTTACCATATCATATTTACAGAAATATCCGTTCTGTGTTAAGCATTGACGTATAATTTGTCGTGAACAGATAATAAACACTCAGTCATTTGATGGCATTTCATGAGTGAAAGCAAACTCTTCACACCTTCGATGATACCAAGGCATTTGCAAACATTGAGAATAAGTACTAATGGGGAAGTTGGTCAGAAGCTTTTGTACGAATCTGTGGGATAACAGTCAAGTGATCAGAAGAAAACAATGTTCCTGTTTTCTATTATTATGTTAACTTGAATTTCTAAAGCTAAGAATTTTGGAAGTTCTGTTATCTCTCTGTATCATACCAATTATTTATTTATATAGACTTTTATCTTTCCATATATCTAAGTATTATTTTTTATGAACTATAACCAACTATAGCTTGCTGAAATTCTTTCAACCAATGGTACTTCAGTATTGTTCAAGTCATACGAAAGGAAACTCGGTTACCGACATAATTTTATTCACACAGCGCCAGATCTTCCGGGTATTATTACGTAAGTACTAGAGTTTGTTTTAATATACTTAGAACTAATAGATATTTGACTTAGAACAGTTTGAATTAGGTCTTATCGATTAAAGTATGCCGATGTTTAATTCTCAAATCTAAGGTGCATATACATTCATGATTAATATCCGAATAAGCAACTCAATAAATTAATTGTTTAAGCATAGATATAATATTTTAGTCAATGAATAATGACAGTACTCAATGTTACAAAGAAATATTTAACAGCTGAAAAGATGAATATAAAAAAAGTCTGTTGAAATCAGTGATATGTATTCCTGCAAGTGATAACCCATAAATAAAAGTTTCTAGTTTAAGTTCGAGTATTTTTGTTAGCCCTGTTACATGTTAGCTACGGCCCGATTTTAAATATTGGTTAAGTTAATGAGATATTTAGTTTATTTACGAAAAACATGTTTCGGATTACAATCGCAATGAAAGGTTTAATTACTTGGAAATCGGAAGTCACATTTTAAGGGGCTTGACTGAATAGAATTACTGTCATCTGGTCATATTTTATTTCCAACAAAAAAACTCAGTTATTGTCCATTCACTATTATACTCGGCTATTTCAAACTAGTAAATAGTAACAAGATTAGGTATACAGTATTTATGAATAAAACACATTCACAATTTTCTAAAAGTAAACCTATCTCGAAACAAAAGCAGTCATTCTGTGGATGGTTTACAATAAATAAATGTTACTTATCTATCCTTTAGGGTTACTATTTTAAACAATCATTTTGAATAGTCCTGCTGATTGAAACATTTGGTAATTTGAGTTCACTCAAGTAATGCTTGGTCGCAGAATTGAAACAATAAGTGACACTGTGATAACATTCATCCATAGTTTCAAATCATGGAACTTTACAGATAGCCATCTCGATTTATTGAATGCTTCACATTTCATTTCACTCTTCAATTAAGGAAATGGCAGTTAACTCTTTGTAGTATCAAGTTTTTAGTTACTAATTAGTTTTAGATATGTTGACCGTTGTAATTTTGAAAGAACTATTTGTTGACTAAGACCCTCTCTTATACGTTGCTTTGTATTATATTATTTCAAAATAATCTGGTTAGTTTAATGACAGATTTCATTGTGCATAGTTCATATATGCCTTATATTATCAATCACAGGATTACGAAAGCAATAATATACATTTTTAAATGGTAAACCAGAGTTGATATTTACACTTAAACTGTTTGGAAAATTTTAGTTCACCTTTCAAAATAACTATGGTTTATGTAAATCATGGTTTATAACCTTCAACTATCTAACAACTACTTTCTATTTAAATAATGTTCTTGCCAGGTTATACTGATGTCTGTCGGATCTATTTTAAAATATTAAAAATGGTACGATTATTGCATATCAGAAAATCACAATGAAAAACTGTAAATGAATGCAAGATCACATCTCGGAAGTTTTCCGAGGCCCAAATGAGAATATCTTTTATCTATGCCGCCTGCTTAAGAAGTATTCCAGCGACCATTTACTTTTGGAAAAATATCAACCTAAGACTCAAACTAAAAAAACGTCTATTGAGTGGATTATGATATTCCACAATTACGTATGCCTAAATACCAACTGCCGCGACGAGCTGTGTTTTGCAGTGTAGTAGTAGGTTGGAAGAAAGTTATGGGCAGCCAAAACGAAACATGGAACAAATCCATAAAGTCACTGATAAGTGGACTGAGTCATGTTAGTATATGTAGGCTACGTGGTTGGGGTCCGCGAGACGATAGTCACCAATGGTTTGAGACCTTGAATGACATGGCTGAGAATCGTTTACACTGGCGCACGTGCATCCACTCTTAGTGTTCTCTCTAATTCTAACCTTCTGCACTCTTCATAATCTCTATCTTTCTCCTTCTCAAGTTATCTCACTGAATTATACTTCTCGAATCACATCTTCGAACCCTGATCTTCTCCATTACTGCTGATACTTGTATTGTCGCTACCACTAGAAAGAGAAAGATAAAGGTGATGACGAATTCAGAAGATTAGAATTTGAGAGAACACAAAGAGTGGATGCACCTATCTTTCTCCTTCTATATTTATCTTACTGAATTATACTTCTCGAATCATATCTCCGCTCCCTAATCTTCTCCATTACTGCTAATACTTCTACTATCACTATCACTCTTGGATTTGAACTGACAGTTGCATCTCTGTGCTGATGTGGTATGGCAACCTGAACTGATGCACTTACGTACGAAGTTTTGCGTTGTATCTGTCTGTCTGTCTATTCTAACAACTGCGGAACTACTTTATTTGACAACACTGAAAATTTTACTTACTTGACTAATTTGATCAACTATTTTGTCAGCGAGATACACTTATAAACGTTTTATAATTCACACCTCATCATAGGTTATTTGTGAATCGTTAAATATAAATGACTTAAAAATATTACTAGTGTATGAATGAATTACAGTGTGTAACATTAGAGTTTATTGCCATTGTCTAGAGATTTGTGAAGTTGAATCAACTCATTTAGAAATTATGGTACATTTTCAGGGGCTTTTTGGTTTGCTGCATTGTGTCCTTTGAAGTAATGTTTAGGTTGCCGAATGTCTGCGACTTGACTAATCACAACATGATATTAGTGATTTCAGTCATCTTTCGAATGATAACTATTTATGAATTTCAGAATATTTCTCTTTCTACATTAAATAATCCTGAGAAAGTTTTTGCTTCAATCTTATTCCTTGTTACTACTAGATCGTTTGTTCAATGCACTCTATCTGGAAGTTTAAATAAATTGGAAGATTTAAAAATTTGACTTCGTTGGTGTAATGTCGATTGTTAAACATTGGAATAGATTATCTTCTCACTATCTCTATCTCATAATGTGTTTGCGTGCATACTATCTATCAGCTGGTCTGTTTTCGTGACATAAATCATGATGCTTCAATGTCTCGAATAATGCATCATTTTACAACTTATTTCAAGTGTATGTGATTTTCTAATAAATTTATTTGTATTGTGTTTTATTTTATAAATATTTTTTTTTCTACTTCCGACTCAGCATTACGTCATCATTTTTTTGTCTTCATTTGTTAGATTGTTTATTTTTTTTTATTGCATTATATCTATTTCTTTATTGATAACACCATTACTATTACTATTATTATTATTATTACTGTTATTATCTCAACAAATTGTGCGGTAAATTTTTATTTTATCTTTTCCGTTATTTTTTTCCTATTGAAGTCAATGTTTTCGAATATATTTTGTATAAATTAGATTCATGGTAATATATGTTGTATTTTAGTTTTAAAACTATTTATTACAATATAAGCAACATGAAAAAATGTTGAAATGAATATCGTCCTTTCAAAATACATATCTTTTTAGCATCTCTTACTTATTTGGGCTTGTAAACTTTCAAAGAGCATGGGAAACCGACCGACAATCTCCAACCTAATCTGTTCTGAGCTCTCTTTTCAAGTTGCTCCAAGTGCTACTCATTCTCTTGATGTCTGCCACTGGTTCTCGGAGCAATATGTTCTTTAATTTTCTTCTTCTCCTTTTACCCTGAAGATTACGAGTTAGGTTTTGCCTTGTGACACAGTCGGGTGATTTCCTTTCGTTTCAAGTGTTTTTCCCTAATTACTATTTGATCTGGAAGCTGGTTTGTTCTCTGACACAATAGGTTGTCAGTCAGTCAGCCAGTTACAACGTAGAACTTCGTCTGTACGTACATCTTTTAAAGTTGCCATACCACATTAGCACAGAGATGCAACTGTCGATCCAAAGCCCATAGTGGTAGATGTAGTAGAAGTATTAGCAGTAATCGAAGAGATTAGGGTTTGAAGACGTTCTTCAAGGATCTAGTGAAATAAATTTCAGAAGAATGATTCCTCTGTAGCTCTCATGCTTACTATTATCTCCTTTCTTTGGTAACTTGATGAGGTGTCCTTCTTTTCAGTCTGTTGATTATTATTCTTCCTCCAAGTTGCTTTCAATTACTTATTTGGTATTTTGTCGGTCGATGCTGCTCAACCGCTTATGATTTGTCTGATGATCATGCGGTACGACAATTGTAGGAATGTCTATGTATGCTGCTTTGATTTTTGGTGGATTAAGTGAGGTTGGTCTATTCAAGAGTCCTTCAGAGTACTCTACCCACCTGGTCCACAGTTCTTGGATCTCAGTGATCGGTTCGCCTTCCTTTTTTAACTTTCTGTTCTGATTTACAATACTTTCCAGCGAGCTTCTTCGCCGTATCTTATAATTTTCTGATGTTTCCTTGTCTTGCAACTTTTACGCTGATGTTTCTAGATCTTCCACATGTTTTCACTTAGAAGAGACATTGGCCTCGTGACTTTGACAAAATTCGGTTTTCACCATAGGGTATGATCACTTCTCTGAACGAAAACCCTTAAACTGACAGTGAAGAATTTAAATGGTTTTAAGGATTTTTGTAATTAGCATTATTTTACTGAGGTTGTTTTGTATGGGACGAGGTTGCTAACCCTGTGTAGAATCTGCCTCCTACGTCCAAGTTTAGTAACGACACTAATCCTACAAGGGTTCCAAGGAAAGTTAATTCATCAGATTTGTTGGTTATTGATTTATCATGTGTTGTTAGTTTTGAGTGTAACCACTCCATCTAACTACTACAAACAATCCATCACAGTCGATTAATTAATTCCATGTACTTCAGAAATGATCAACGATGCTTGTCTGATAATTTGAAGGCATATATTGAATAGTAGGTCTGAGTTAAAGAAAAAGGTTTAACAATATAATATTCAGCTGTCAGCTTCCATGTTGGTTTGTCATAAAATTTTCCCTTATGAGTAGGAGAACGTTGAAGTTCACTCAAAGAATTGTTACGAATGGCTTTTTTCTAACGTCGTGTTGTACATCTGTATTTGTATGAGTGATTATATATGATTATTCTTTTTTAATAATAATAATAATTAATCGAACTGCTACTAGCTGATTTTGATAATATTTTTAATGTTTGCATGATAACTTTTATAATGTTCCCGTCCAAACTACCAAATCAATGCGATTGCTAGTAGCTCTTCTTGGTCTTACCAATTACTTCAATATGTCTGTGAACGAATTCTGTTGTTTACAGCTGTTACAGAATTGTCTTCCTGGAGCTTAATTTGAATGTGCAATCATAGCCACGCTTACATAAGTGCAAAATCACAGAACTTATCTGTCACTAAGTGATAACATGATAAATAAGAGCTAATATTAAGATAACAAATGTAGTAGTAAAGTGTCAACAAATATTTCAACATTTGAAGTAGGTCAAATTTCGAGGTATATTTGACTGCGTCACTTTATGTATGTTGGAATTAACCTACTCTGAGTGTTGAAACTTTGGTTTACTTTATCGCGCTGTCCTTATGACCCTAATCAATTCTACGTTACATTGTATTGTTTTATTATTATTATCAGTTGCGTAATGCATAACACGTACCAATTCACTTGAAGCGATGTAACGTTTTAACTGTATGTATATAAAGGTATTGGCCTAAACAAGATTTAGTCAAGAAAACAATATATTTATTTATTTTCTATGTCTATAGGCCTATTGTAGAGATGTTAACATTTTCAAATATAGTGTTCAGAAAGAGATGGTTATCATTTTATGAATACCTCGGTTATTATGATTAGTGTTCATTTTATTATTTAATACTAACTAAACGACTTCTTACTTTATGTACGTGAAAATAATCTTTTTATTCACTCGTTTCTTTAAACTTAAGTAAACCTCTTCAAATCGTGCTTACTCATTACATAATCCTTCAATTACCAACTCAGAATAATTACCATCTCATTTCTCTAAACTTTTTATTTTCAAGTGATCTAAAACTAGTGTAAACCTTTTGTAATTATCCCAGGATCCTGACTTCGTTCAATTATTATCTCTGCCCCAATCGTTGCTCTGGATTTATTCAAATAAGCGTTGATGAAGTGTTAATGAATTAATATAACTCAGGTAATGAAATACAATGCTGTTTTCTAAATACATCCGTTAACCTGTGTACCGGATATATTTAGAGCTCTGTCTAGTTACCATATAGTAACACAACTGTTCAGAATTAGATCATTTAACAACTGGATTCTTATCTACCGGATAACATAAAATAAGCGTAACATATCTATATAGGAAGCAGGAGGTCATTCATAACAACTAGACATACTAATGTTTAAAATAGAAATAATTGTTCTACCTTCCTCACTAAAGACTCTGTATCTACCTTCAGTTTTGGTAACCTGATAGTTTAGTCACATATGTATTGTTCTGAAAACATCTTTAGTCATTTATACTGTTTATTCGTATCGTCTTTCCTTCAGAGAAAACATTTAACTCGAAGTTCATTATAGTATTGTATTTTTGTCTCTTCACAAACTTTTGTTCCTTACTTTGACTAGTGTAAAGAAAATAAAATTATCATTGTTTAAATCCATACACACTACAGATAACGAAACATAAAAAATATATACTGACAAACTCAATGCCTTAAGCAAGAAACTATACAGTGCAGCTGATGTCAGTCAATCAGTCAGTTACATAGAAGAACTTGTACATCAGTACATCAGTTCAGGTTGCCATACTACATCAGCACAGAGATGCAACTGTCAGTTCAAATCCAATAGTGGTAGCGACAATACAAGTATCAGCAGTAATGGAGAAGATCAAGGTTCGAAGATGTGATTCGAGAAGTATAATTCAGTGAGATAACTTTAGAAGGAGAAAGATAGAGATTATGAGGAGTGCAGAAGGTTAGAATTAGAGAGAACACTAAGAGTGGATGCACCTGCGCCAGTGTAAACGATTCTCAGCCATGTCATTCAAGGTCTCTAACCATCGGTGACTATCATCTCGCGGACCTTAACCACGTAGCCTACATATACCAACATGACTCAGTCCACTGCGGAATGTTTTCCAGCGTCTAATAGTTCGATGGGTGTAACTGGGATCCACGGCTTCTTCCTAGCCTTATGGTTTACCTTACTAGCAGTTACTACTACTGTTTCCACAGCCTTTTTGATATCATTCCAAACTGCCTCCGGATTGGAATCACTTACACAAGTGCTCCATAATGGGCGGTAGTCTTCGATTGAGCTTCCCCATTGATGGTTGATAGTAATGTGGTCCAGTTGTGTCCATCGTTGCGTCAGCTTTGGGGATCACTAGGTGAAGAGATGTTTTTCCTTATGCTCAAGTTTAGTGTTTGCTAGGAATAGGCGGTTGTTCGAGCATATCTGCAGCAGACGGTCGCCATTATCTGATCTTTAAGCCACGACATCATAAGATCCACCCAGGTGTCTTTCCTTTTCACTCAGTCTACCTACTTGAACATCAGAGTCACCAGCCATTATTACTATGTCAGAGAGCTTAACGTTTTGAAGAAGGTTAGAGAGGTTTCTGTAAAACTCATGTTTCACCTCGTCGGAACTGTAGTCAGTGGGAACGTAGGTTTAGACAACAAAGAGGCGACGGTGAGTGTCCCTATCTTTACGAGTCCTTACTGTCGTGTTTGTTTGGATAGCGCATAAGCGACTGTCTCCCGTGACTCAGTCTAAGAGAGCTAGTTCTGCCATAGGATTTAATACCATATATACACCAGTGAGTGTACGCCATGCAGCAGCAGGGTTTACTGATATATGGAGCGTAAACTGAGTTGGTTCTTTATCTGGACAAGGTGAAACCAGATTGATGAATTTACTAGGATCTTGTATGTGCGTTTCGGAGACGCAGCATACATTGATGGTGCGAGATTCTAAAGTCCTAGTTAAAGAAGCCTGTTGTTTTATTTGACGTCATATGCTCCAACATATAGTTTAAAACTTGGTTTCAAGAGATCGTGAACTCACATCATTTGCATAAGGGTACGGGGTGATAATGGAATGCGAGTAGAGTTAGTCGTGGATATAAGAGAGGTGTTAGGTGGTATAGGAAGGATTTGTTTGTGACCAATTTGGTCTCGCATTCTGTTACGGGTATGAGGGCCGATGTCACTTCCCGGGTGCCTACACCGTGGAAAAGGTGTTTCTTGAAGAACCTAAAATGTAAGGCAGATTAGTGTCGGTCTTAACTTTCGGGGAGCGTGAGCGCAGAACCCAAGGCTCAGCTGCTTGAGGCTGGTCATGCACGGCCTTTTTATGAGAATTTTTTGAAGTGTTAAGTACGCTCTTTTTTAAAAGCCCCTGCCTCAATTTTAGGAATTCCCTGTGAAACTTCTATCTGAATTTATAACTGTAGAATCTATGAGAACTTGTTAAGAAGAATATTTTCCATTCAGATATTTGTGCTTTTAATGTGATGGGAGAAGCCGGACGATTAAAAATTTTAGATGTCAATAAAATGGAAGCTCCAGCAACTCCGCCCGTAG